ATCTTGCTGGCCCTTGCGGCTCGACGCTCGTCGGCCTCAAGCGGCGCGAAATCGACGCCAATCGATGCTAACCGACGCTGGATCGGCACTAGCTCATCGATTATACCAGACGCCAGTCGACGCGAATGCACTCTAGAGTAGAGACAGAGTCACGAGGGTACGCAGGGCCCCCATGATTTGCTACCCAAGAAGTGGGAGGGGGCGGGCCTTCTCAGAATGCCCGGAAGTCCTCTGGCCTTCTGAGAAGGCTTCTAAGCCTTCCCCAGAGACACAGGAGCCTTCTCAGAAGGCCTAAGGGCCGCCTTCTGAGAAGGCATCCTCCTTCTCACTTCCCCATTCCCGCCCTCACTCGCCGCCGGCCGACGCCCAAAATGACTCGCGACGTCCTCGGGGACCTTGAACGTTGGGGGCGGCTGGGGGTCTGAACCGGTTGGGAGGCAGGGACATGGAGGAAAAAGGGAGGGAGAGAGAGAGGGAGGGAGAGAGAGGGAGGGAGAGGGAGGGAGGAGGGAGAGGGAGGGAGGAGGGAGGGGGGGGAGGGAAGGAGAGGGAGGGAGGGAGGGAGGGAGGGAGGAGGGAGGTGGGAGGAGGGAGGAGGGGAGGAGGGAGGGAGGGAGGGGGGACCCCAGAGAATCGGCCAGGAGGGGGCGATGGAACCAACTCCGCTCAGGATCGGCCCCAAGACCCCTCCTTTGGGGGTGTAGGGTCCATCCGCTGCGCCGCACGGACGGCGCGGACACGCCGTCGGGGCAGTGGCGCTGCGGAGGTGGCGCCGAGGGCGGCTGGGCCAGGGGGCCCCAGGCTGCGAGCTGGACGCGCTGTCGGGAGCGAGACCTCCGCAGGCTCTCGCGCGCAGGCCAGCAGCCGCGCTGAAGGCGCGGCAAGTTGTTCCAGTCCCCGGGGCCGTGCTCGACGGCCCCAGGGCCCGGATATTCACGGCCCCCGCAGGCCGAGACGCGCGACAGAAAAAAACGTTTCCGAACCCAGCGCCTCGAACAGGGTGGGCTTGTCTTACACCACCACCACCACCACCATAAGTAGGAGGGGGAGCGGGTCCTCCTCCTCCTCCTCCTCCTCCTCCTCCTCCTCCTCCTCCACCTCCTTCCCCCATCCGACTTATGGTGGTGGTGGTGGTGCAAAACAGGCCATGAGAACATGCCCGCCTGTCTTGCTGGCCGGAACCCGTGCTGGGCCACCTCAGACCTCCAGCCGACTTCATCGGGGGCGTCCAAGAGAGGGGCGTCCAAGAGGGAGGGGGACGCACATCACGGTCGGCGGCATGTGCGAGGCCAAGCGGGGGGGGTGACCGGGGACGTATCGAGACAAGAAGAGGCGCCATGAAAACTGGGGAGATCTCCTGGCCTCCGCCATGATTGAAGGGGCCCTGGGACACACAAATAAATACACACAAATAAACATATCCACCATATTTTCGTATATTTTCTGGGTTTTTGTCTTCCCCACCACCTCCCATATTTTCCCATATTTTCTGGGAATCGACGATTAACTGTGTCTGTGTGTTTTTTCCCCTCCTGAATGATCTTCCTCCCCCCCAATCCTTACCCCCCTCTTGGCCGCCCCCGAGTGCCCCCCTGGGCCACTCCTCCAGCTGCCGCGCCTCGCCCAGGGCCTCCCCGGGATCCCAGCTCGCGGCTCGGAGGCCAGCCAAGAGGAGCAGGGCTCTCCGATCCCGAGAAGAAGCCAATCAGCGGAGGCGAGCGAGGGGGGAAATGAGAAGAAGAAGAGGAAGGCCTTCTCAGAAGGCGGCGGGACTTCTCAGAAGCCCTCGGGCCTTCTGAGAAGTGTTGTTTTTCTTCGGGGAAAGCCTCAGAAAACTTCTCAGAAGGCCGGGGGGCTTCCGAACCTTTTGAGAAGGCCTTCTCCTTCTCACTTCTCCTCCTCGCTCGCCGCCGATGAAAACGTTCAAGACACATCTGCGCGACGTGAGGGCCAGAGTCCCATTATGCGAAGGAACCGCTTCCATTCTTGATGCTGCGGCAAACTTGTTTAAGATGAAGGTGAGTGGCACTAAGGCAAGAGCCACGTTTCGAAAAGGATCCGCACATCCGTTCCTCCCCTCGCTCGCCGCCGAAATCATCGCTCGTGGCTCTGCAAGAACCTCGACCGTCTCCTCCTTCGTCATCGTCCTACTAATATTTTGACGTCGTCGTCCCCCCCCTCCGCGAATAGACAAGCTCGTTTCACTAGTCGCAAAGTAGCTACTCTCAAATGGCCTGGATCCGCCGCAGGGGACTTACGATATCTGACACAAAGGCAGACGCATGGCTTTGGGAGTAGTGGAGCGCGGTCGGCGAGCGAACGTGCGCCACCTCCTCCTTCTCCACCTCTGCGGACCAAGCCCAACCTCATGCGGGGGCCTGGCAGTTTTCACCCCCGGTCCTTCCTTGGTCGTCCGACGGCCCAAGCGGCGCAGAACGAGGATCAGAGGCAGACATCACGATCTTATCGTCCCGAAACGCCTAATGGATATCCTCACTCCTCCTCCTCCTCCTCCTCCTCCTCCTCCTCCTCCTCCTCCTCCTCCTCCTCCTCCTCCCCCCTCGTCCTTCCCCTGCTCCTGTTCCTGCTCCTGCTCCTCCTCCTCCTCCCCCTCCTGCGACGACGACGGCCTCGACGACCACGACGACGGCGGCAGCCTCGCCCACGACGACCCCGACGACAGTGGCGACCTCGGCAGCGACGGCGGCCTCGTGGCCGCCCTGCCGGCGCGGCGCGGCGCGCGCGCGAAGAGCACGCACGACGCGCGAAGAGAGAAAGAGAGAGACTGGAGGCCTGGGAATGGGCACCAACACCAACACAAGGGGCTGCCTCCACAGGGGAAGACGATCCTAGATTCTGGTGCTGGTGGTAATGTTTCGGTCACCTCGGGAGCCAGAATCTCACCACCATCGTCGAGATCGGGATCTTCTTCCCTCGGTGGCTGCACACACCGCCGATACTGGTGTTGGTGTCAGTCTCTAGGCCTGCGAAGAGAGAAAGAGAGAGAGAGAGAGAAAGAGAGAGAGAGAGAGAGGCGGGCGGTTGTGGCGAGGTCCTCAGCGACTCCTGCTGCCGCAGCGCCGCGCTGCACGCCTGCTGGCCCGGCGCGCGCACGGAGGGCTGGCGGCGGGCGCCGTCGACGTCGGCCACGACGCCGACGCCGGCGCCGACGCCAACGCCGGCGTCGACGACGCCGACGGCGTCATCGTCGTGGGCGGCGTCATCGTCGCGGACGACGACGACGACGTCGTCGACATCGGCGGCCTTGGCTTCTCTCTCTACCTGCGGACCCCATCCAGGAGGAGGAGGGGGGACAAGGAGGGATCGACGTGTGTGGACGTTTTCGAAGAAGTGTTGCAAGTTGTTAGCCCTCTGTGGGCCTCGGAGTGGCCTCTCGGGACCTTCTCTTTTTCCTGCCCCTCCCCCTCCGCCTCCTCCCCTTCCCCGTCCTCCTCCCACTCCTCCTCAACTTCTTACTACTTTACTTGCTGTTGCTTCTCCTCGTCCACCTGCTCCTCATCCTTCCCCTCCTCTTCCTCCTGCTCCTCGTCTGCCTTTTCTATCTCTTCCTCCCCCCCTCCAGTAACATTACTGATGCGTCTCGTCTTCCTCTTCCTGCTGCTCATCCCGTCTTCTTCCTCCTCCTCCTCCTCCTCCTCCTCCACCTCCCTTTGCTGATTCTGCAGTCCCTGCTCCCCCTCATCCCGTAGGATCCCGCCGTCGTCCTCGACGACGACGGCGATGCCCCAGGCCGCCGCGGCGGCCGTCGCCTGGGGAAGGCCCGCAGGCGGGCACGCGTGGGGCCGCCGGCCCGCGCTCTGCTGTACACCGCAGGGCGGCATTCGCCGAGGCCCTCGCGCTCCCCGGAAGCGAGCTCAGCCCTCGGCCGGGGAGTTCGGGCGGGCGGCAAGGGGGGCCCGGGGTGACCCGAGTGGGGGGTGAAGATTATGATGGGCCTGTTTTCCACCGCCACCACCGTAAGTTGGAGGGGTGAAGGAGGTGGAGGATGAGGAGGAGTAAGAAGAAGAAGAAGAGGGGGAGGGAGGCCCCCTCCCCCTCCTCCAATTTATGGTGGTGGTGGTGGAAAAAAGGCCCATCAGATTACACCAGAGAGAAGCCCCAATCAATGGATGGTTTTCGCTGAGGAGATCGGCCGGGAACCCGGGAGCCCGGGAACTCAGAGCCCACCGAACTCGGCCCAGAACCACTGACCGGGAGCCCGGGAACCTGGAACCGGGAATCCGGGAGCCCAGCCTGCCACCAAACTCGGCGGGAAACTTCGCCAAATCTTTCAGCTTCCGCTTGGGGCCCCTTCAGAGTCCAGGAGGGCTAAAAAATAGCACCAGGACCTCGATACCTTAATTCCAGTCGAGGTTGTAGGTAGCCCAGAGAGGTCCATAGGTCTGGAGGGCCATTTTTGACACTCTGGGAGGTCAGGGTGCAAGCACTGATTGGGGAAAAGGGGCCCCAAAGGGGCCCTCTGGGGCCCCTTTTGGGCACCCGCTGGCTCCAAGGGCCTGTGCTTCCCCTCCCCCCATTTGGGCCGCCCCCCGTTGCCGCACGCCCGAGGAGTGTTGCGGATGCCATGACACTGGACGCCCTCACGATCCTATCATTGAAAGGGGCCCTGGGGCCCTGGGGCACACAAAGAAATACACACAAATAAACATATTCCCCATATTTTCCCATATTTTCTAGGTTTGCGTCTTCCCCCCACTTCCCATATTTTCCCATAGTTCTGATAATCGACGATTAATTGTGTCTGTGTGTGTTTCCCCTCCTGATCATTAAGCTAAGAATGTGTTTAGACTGTTGGGGGCATGTTCTAGACATGGGTGAAGCCTGTTATCCACATGCTTACGACATGGTTTAAACATTTATAATGCATCTGGAAAGTATTTGGCAGCCTGCTTCCGCTCCATTGATCGTCGTGCGCAACTGGGAAGGGGCTCCCCGGGGGCCTCCGGATGTCCTGGAACGGGCGGGGTCTTCACGCAAGAGGGGTCTTCACGCGGGACGGGGAGGGTCCGACCCGAAGGGAGGGCGACCCCCACGTCGTCCGCCGCCACACCGCATTCTGGCTCAAGCCGTGGGTGCCAACGCGCGGGTTCAAGGCAAAGGGCCACTGCTTCGGCCGAGGGCAGCTGGGAGTGCAGGTGGCGGGCGAAAGGGTCCATGCAGAGGGCCCAGGCCGCGCCCATGAGGGGGCGCCCCTGGGCCAAACCCGCGAGAAACCATGAGGAGCGGGCGGCGGTCTGCTCCGCAGCGCGAGTGGGCGAGAGCCCCCGTATATAATGCACGGACTACATTTAGGAAGCCCGTCGGGACGCGATGGCGCTCGAGCGCGCGCTCACGGAAAGGGTTGGGGGAGGGAGGGGGGGGGTGGGGGGGGGAGGCAGCTCGGCGGTTCAAGGACACGAGGAACGGGGGGGGGGAAAGCGGGATGGTGGCTGGCTGCGCGGGCGATCGCATCCTGGCGGACGACGTGCGACAACAACTGGCGACCGCGCGCAAAGCCTCGCTGGCTCGAGCGCGCCCGCGCGGCAGCGAGCGGCGCGAGGGCGCGGTTCGCTGCAGCGGCAACGGCTTAGGCATCGCAGCTATTGAAGCTCAGTGGTCGGAGCTAGGACGCGTTCCTGGTCGCGCCCATGGCGCCCGGCGGCCCGCCGCCCCTGGGGACAAAGACCATATCGGCGAGTTCGCAGCTGAGCGCGGCACCCTTGCCCCGGCATATTGGTAGCGGAAAATTCACACTATTACTTTAAAACAGCGAGTGGCTAAAGGAAACAAGCCTTCTAGTAAAGTGGTGTTGGTCTGTTGCGCGACAACCGCGGCGGCGCGTCCGAATTGCCGAACCACGTCCTGTGCTTGCGTCATGAATCCCCGGTCAAGGAGCATCTACAACTCGCTGAAAACATGTCCAAGGGTCGCCGCGACCCGATGCAACGCGACCCTGATTACTCGAGCAAATGCATCGCGGGGTGAACTGGCAAGAAAGACAAGGGGCTCCCGTCCCCCGACTTGGCCCTGGCCACACATCACCACCCCGCCCCAAGGGTTTTACTGAGGCAGACCGCGGACATCACGAAGGCGACGAAGCGGTTATACTAAAGCGGGGGCGCAAGTTCGCCTGTGGGCCAGGGCCCCGTCGCTGCCGTCGTCGCGACGTTCGTCGTCGCCGCCGTCGTCGCTGCCGCCGTCGTCGTCGCCGTCGTCGCCGCGGCGCCCGCGCGTTCACGTTATTACCAGCGGCGAGTCGCGCGCGACCGCGCGCGCCACTGCGGTCGCATTTCCGCTCGTCCGACGGGGGCCAGGGCGGATATCATGTTTTTTGCTCAACCCGCAATTTTTCCAAAGTGATAATGGGGAAAGTACGCCTCCGAGCACAATCCAACCATCATGTCATAGAGGAAACCCGCGGGGCGGCTGCCAGCTACAACAACAACATCGGGAAGCCCATCCGGCCCAGGGGCTGCGGGCTTGGCCTAGCGCAGGACCAACCGCGATACTGCAGGAGAGGAAACTTCAAGGACAGATTGCTCGAATTCAGGAAGATGAGTGTTCCGGCGGGCATCGCCCGCAGCGGCGTCGGCGGCGCGGCCCGCGAAGATGGGCTGCACATGCTGCCGCAAGCCGTCGATGATCATGGTTGGGTTTCCCTCCGCACCAGACTGGCGCCCCATCGCCATCCGCTCGAATGCCAGCCAGCGCCGGTCTGCGTCGATGCGGGGTCCAAAGAAAAGCGCGTCGTTGGGAGGCACGCTGCGTCTTCCTCGACAGCAGCGCGGCGGGGCCCTCCCTGCCAGCCTGCGAGCGCGTGTCCTCGCGGAAGCGAGCCGCCGCGGCCGCCTGCCGGCGCTCGCGCCAGGAGAAGTCGAGGTCCCTGCGCTCCTGCTCGAGAGCGCCGGGGTTGGAGAGCGAGATGCGTTCGTCGCTGTCGATGGCCAGGTGCTGGCGGCCCATGTCGGTGGAGGTGATCAGCTTGGACGCGAGGTGGAAGTCCTGTCTCCAGATGGCTCTCGCAATTGCGCGAGCCGTCATGCGGCGTCCATCGCGAGCCGCTTCAGAGCCATCTCCGATGGGCAAGCCTGAAGCTCGTTGCGCATGAGACTCGCGGCCTCGATCATCTGCAACTGGACCTCCGCCCAGCGGTTCTCCGCCGCGATGTCGAGAAGTCGGGGTGGCCGGGCAGGTTGGTGACGCGCTTGGAGAAGCGCGGGGAGGTGACTGCGTTCTGCGGGATAGCCCGATCATCAGGAGCAGCAGCGACGCGCGGCTGAATCTCCAGCCAGATGATGGCGCGGTCGCCGAGGCCCCAGTCCGCCACGGAGGCCGCCTCCTGCCAGATCTCGAAGGTGGCGGACGCGCCGAAGAGGAAATGGGACTTCAGCGAGACGAAGGCCCGGTCGATGAAGGAGCACGTCTGCCGGCGCTTGGAGCAGCACGCTACCTCCACCAAGTCCCGCTGGAAGAGATTGCGCCGGAAGCCCTGGGCCCGGCCCCCGTGCCAGACCGATCGGCCGTCGCCGCCAGCCCGTCGGTGATCCGCGAGGGTCGGCGCCAAAATGCTCTGGCGGAGCGTCCCCAAAATGTTCCCACGACAAGCAGCCGAAACAGAGGACGTCGAGGAAGCGGATGAAGACGCGGTCGACGCCGACTGCCTTCGAGCGGCAGCCGGTCGCGCAACCGATGAGGAAGCCGCAGACGGCAAACGTCAGTGCACCGGCTCAGCCTCTGCGACATCGAGGCCACCAGTGGCGATGAGACGCGGCGGCGCGCCAGAGGGAGCTCGTGGGCGGGTAGTTCGCGATTGTGAATGTCCATGGTGCTGCATCTCGCCATGGCGCTTGTGGGCACGCTGGGAGAGCAGTCCAATGGCGCCCCAAGGCGCAATGCGTAGTCCCTGCTCTGCTTCTGTGCCGAGGCCTTGGGGCGCAGCCGTATCCCAAGGCAGCCAGCGAGGGCTGGGGGCAAGACCAGGTGAAAGTATCCATCACGTTGTTGAAGGGAGTGGCCTCGCGGAGCTGGTCGATGATCTGCTGGCGCTCGGTGTCATCGATGTGCCGTGCCTTTTCTGGCTGCCAGAACATATTCGAAGGATCACGGCAGTCCTCGGGGGCCACTTCGATGATGTGCACCGCGCTGACGCTGATAATGCCCTCAGGGCGGACTGCGGTCCAGTCGCGATTCTCGGTGGCGTGGGACTGCTGCATGAGGAGTAGTAAAATTTGGGCGTGCATCTCTCGGCGAATCTGTCGAGGTGCTTTGTCCGCGCCCACATCGAGCGGCACACGGCGCCCGTCGGGCGCCTGAGTCTGGAAGGATCTCACGCCACCTCCGTGGGGGCGAAGGGAGCGGGCCAGGGCCATGGCACGCGTGTCGCCCACTGCTGCACCGCCTCGAGCCCGAAAGAAGAATCGTGTCGAGGGGCCTCTCCGCCGACCAGCTCCCGGCTCCCAGCGGGCACCTTCGAGGCATCCAACCACTCGGCGGTGCTGGCCGTGACCCGGTCGTATTCTGCGAGTTTGGCCACGTCAGCAGCAGGGAGACAACGTTCGGCAAGGGCCAACGCAGTGCGGATCTCGCCAATCTGCTCGCGGAGACGTGCGTTGTCCTGCTCCATGTCAGCCCTTCATCGGTGAATCTGGTGCATCTAGTTCTAGTCACGTTGTTGACCACAGGGTCGATGCAGCCCGCCTCAGCCGTGGCCAAGTCCGTGGGGGCTGCTGCCAAAGAGCGCTTATACAAGGAGTTGAGCTGCGTGGCGGTGGAATCCATGCGGGACTTGACCAAGGCCAAGATATTGGTCTGTATAGAATTTCCCTGCCCGCTACCACTGGGACCAGATCCAGCAGTAGTGGACACTCCTCCAGTCGACGTCGCAGGGAGCGGCTGTCCAGGGGCCTCCTGCGACTCCATGGCCTCCAGGTCGCGCTCAATGGCGGCGAACTCTTCCCTGGAGAGGTTCGGGGCCGCTGCAGCAGCTGCTCGCCATGGGTCGCACACCTGGAGGGCGTCGGCTGGCGCAACAGCAGCATCTGCAAGCCGCTCGGGGGCATGTGGGGCCTCCGCGGCAGCGGGCGCCCCAGGCGCGGGGCTGCCACTGCCAGCTACGCCAGCCTACTGTGGAGGGGCCGCCATGCCGCCTTGCCCTTCGCGCTTACGGGGGCGGTCGCCCTCACGACGAGCAGGCTGGACGGCACGGCTAGCGACGCCTCGGGCGCCGTCATCAACCCAGCCGTGGCGATCGCTGCGCCGCTAGCGGCGACGCTGGCGCTCCTCGCCCCCACTGCGGCTGTGCTGATCGCGAGGCCCTCGGCCACCGCGCTCGTCGGGAGGGCTGCCAGAAGAATCGGAAACCATGCTGTAGAAGAGAATCGTACTTGCGAGAAGGTCGTCGGTCTGTCTGTGGCGCGGGGCAGCAAGCCCAGGAAGCATGCACCAGCAGCCAGCAGCCAGCGGCAAGCCCAGAAGCAGGCACCGGCAGTGCCCCCGTAGCTGCCCTGGCCAACCGCCCCGGGACATGGATCACTTGAGCCAAGATGGCTGGAGCCAGAGTGGCTACGGAGGAGGAGGGAGGAGGAGGAGGAGGAGGAGGAGGAGGAGGAGGAGGGAAGAGTGAGGAGTCAGGAGGAGGGAGGAGGGAGGAGGGAGGGAGGAGGGAGGAGGGAGGGAGGGGGGAGGAGGGAGGACCCCGAGGCACGGCAAGGCTGGCCCGGTCTCGAGCCGCGCGCGGAGCGCCCGCCGGGAGAGCCCGCGAGCGGCGCCGCCCCGCGCCGGCGGCGCGGGCAGGGGCCCGCCGCAGCAGAAGCCGTCTCCGCGGGCGGTGGGAGCCGCACGGGGCCGCGCGAGGATGCCGTGGCGAACCGGATGGGCCACCTTTCCACCACCACTGCCAGAGGCAGGACGGGGAGAAGGGAGGATGGGGAGCTCCTCCGCCTCCTCCTCCTCCTCCTCCTCCTCCTCCGCCTGCTCCTCCTCCTCCTTCTCCTCTCTCTCCTACCTGTGGTAGTGGTGGTGGAACAGCGGCCCATCAGAACAGCCGTGCAAATCTCCCAGAGATGCGACGCTCCAGCGAAAAACATAGGGCGGGCGGCTCGGGGCCGTCTTCGGCCTACGGGGGTCCTCGCCGGGCCTCGGGGCCGTCAAGAACACGTCTCGGGACGAAGAGCCGATCCACGGGGAAGCTGTCCAGAGCTCTGGGGCCGACGCATCGACACAGTTGGAGCGGCCGGATGTCTGGGTCGAGCAAGGGCGCAAGCGCAAACAACCTGAGACCACTGCAGGTATGCAGAGATGTACGGAATAACCGGGGGATGACTGTTGGGAGGCTGGCCTAGAAAGAGAGAGAGAGAGAGAGAGATAGAGAAACGGACAAAGAGAGAGGGAGAGTGAAACGATGGCGAACACAAGCCAGTGTCGGCTGCGCAACGGTAGCGTGTCGACTGCAGTGTCAGTTGCCGTAGGAGACTCGGCTGACTTGTCGACCTCCGTTTCGTCTGCAGTGTCGCATCAATCGGCAGTATCCTCATCTATCCCTTCCTCCCCACACCTCAATTGTTGCTGAGGGCGATGAGCACATCGTAACCCAGTATCTCCCCATGCCGGTGAGGACGTGAGGTCAGGGAATCGCGACACGATAGCACGGTCCGAATCTGGGCGATCCCCAAGGCTGGAGCTCGAACTAGACCGAGACGGTCTTGCCACCGCGCTCGACGACCAAGTCAAGTTCCAAAGACCCCCTGAACTCGCGCATCATCTGCGAGCTGTCCGAGTGGGCGCCGTTGACGCTCACGGTGCGATCCCCGACAGTTATGCTCTGCGGCTCCCCCGCCGTCCTGCGATTCCTCTCCTCGAGGGTCCCCTCGCCCTTCGACGCCGTCACCTCCAGCACCTTGCCGTCGACATCCTTGAGAACCGTACCGCTGGCTTCCCCGACCGTCTACTCTGGCTACACGCAAAGGAGTGACTCTGGGCAAGAGTGACCTTTGGTGCGCGGCCTTTCGAGGGCCGCGGGGGGGCCAAACCCGAGCACGCGATACGCTGCTATCGCATCGCGTTCGGCGAACGGGGAACTTCATAGGGCCCGTACCACAAGTCACATGTCCCGCCCGCCCGATCCGCCGCCCGCCCGCCGCCCGACCCGCCCGCCCGTGAGGGTCCGCCCGCCCGACCTGACCCGTCCGTTCGACTGTGCGTGTGATACCTCGATCACGCGTCATGCTTTCATGTCCCGCCCGCCCGACACGCCGCCCGCCCGACCCGCCCGACGAAAGGTCAATCTAGAGGACGGAAAAATTCATAAACATAAGCTGCTGGAGGTGTGAAAGATTATGTGTGAGGGCGCGCCGCTGGGTGGCCCCAAGGGGGGGGGGGGAAGGGACCCCCCACCCTTTCCCCGATCCGTCGTCGGGGACCCCCCCCCTCTCCCCCTTTCCCGGTCCGTCGTCGGACAACCCCCCTTCCCCCCTCCCCCCCCTTTCCCGGTCCGTCGTCGGGGACCCCCCCCCCTCCACGTCTTTCGAAAGGGGGGGGGGCCCCCCCTCCCCCCCTCCCCCCCCCCCCCCCCCCCTTTCGTCACGGCGCCCCTGGCCACTGGAACCCGACCCATGCCACCCCGAACACACGAATCCTCACACTTACCATAACCCCTAACCCTTAACCTAGCCCCGCACAGTACTCAATACTCACAACGCACTACTCACTACCCACTACTGATTACTCGCCACTCACTACTCACTTCTCACTATTCCCTACTCCCTACTCACGACTCCCCACTCAATACTCCCTACTCACTACCCACTAACCACGAATCACTACTCCCTACTCACTACTCACTACTACCTGCTCATTACTCACGAGTCACAACCCAATACTCACTACTCACGAAGCATAACGCACTATCCACTACTCACTACTCACTACTCACTAACCACTATCAACTATCCACTACTCACTCTTCACTACTCACACTTCACCACTCACTACTCACTGCCCACAGCTCACTACTCACTATCCACTACTCGCTACTCCCAACTATCTACACAGTACTCGCTACTCACTACTCACTACTATCTACTCTCTATTCCCTACACCCTACTCGCTACCAGTACGCACTATTCACTGCCCACTTCTCACTACTCACTACGCACTGCTCACTACTCACTACTCACTACTCCCTACTCACTAGTCACTAGTCACTAGTAACTACTCACTACAAAACTCTCTACTCACTACTCACTACTCACGACTCACCACTCACTATTCACTATTCTCCACTCGCTACTCACTATTCACTACCCACAACTACCGACTCCCCCCTTCTCACTACTCACTACTCACTACTCCCTACTGCCTACTCACTACTCACTACTCACTAGTCGCTATCCCCCACTGGCTACTCACCACTCCCTACTCACTACTCACTACTGACTGCTCCCTCCTCACTACTCACTACCCACAACGCCCTACTCGCCACTCACTACTCACTGCTCGCTACT